GGGATTAACACTTTCCTATAGTTCTCATTCAATCCCTCCCCCACAGCTGCTATATAGCATGGGAGAGAAACTGCCATTGGTTCTTATTTAACAATGTGCTACCATTATACAAACAAATAAACAATATAAAACAAAATAAACAAATATATACCGTTAGCTCTTTGTTTAGGAAAGCATTTTCTTTTGGAACCTTCTGTGTTTTTCCTGGGCCTACGTTTTTGCTGATGCACTTTTAAAGGGGGGAAAAAAGGAGGAGAGTTAAGTTTTAGATGCAGTAATATTAAATGATGAAACATAGCAGAGGTAAAATAGAATAGTTTATGAAGTGCTTTAAGCCATAAGGCCATAATAATAAGAATCAAACATTGAGCAGATGGGTACAGTGAAAAAACAGCAAAAATGATGATTTGTTCAGAAACAGCCTCACAACACCATGTCATACGTATTTGTATGCAACTGCTGCATATTTTGAAAGCTGGGTCAGCAAACTGAGCTAACATTTTTGAAATGAATTTATTTTTTGTCATTCAACAACAAAAGAACCAATAATTAACACTCTAAGAATAATTACAAACAGTTCTCCCATAAAAAAGTTTGTTCTAAATACCTAAGGCAGAAGTTTCTCCACTGCCCCAAATTGCTGACCTGTGAAGAATTTGGGTAAATAATAATTTTCTAACAGTATTGTTTGATAATTGAATTGTTATTAATTTACCAGATCAATTAGATGATTTTCAAAGTAAGGTAGTGTTAAAAGACTGAACCAAAGAAGAAAATTATCAACTGAGAACTGTAAAATCAGTTTGTACTTATGTTTTCTTGGATTCCAACTTTAAATTAGAGGAGACATTGTGACGGCAGTTGCATATAAAGTATTTTTCAGAAATTATTCCAGTACAATTTAAGAAGCCTTAAGTGTTCGTCACTGATTGTTACTTAATTCAGTAATTAATTTAGAGTGGATATTATACCAATTCTGGTATGAACGCAAAATTATAGATCACAAGCAAATTCTGCTATTTGCCTGCAAAAGGAAGGAAGGAAGGTGTCATATCCACAGATCTATGGATCTGTCATGATAAGGAATATGGGGATGATACGGATAATTGGAGACGGTGAAATATCGCTATGGTTGAATAAAGAAAGATCGAAAGGGAGGTGGAATAACAATCGGGAGGGAATGCAAGCTGGGACCCAAATGGATAATAGCAAGAGAGATTTGCAGTTTATGGCCCTGTTTACATCCCGATGCAGGACATGATGGTAAATGAAGAACGCCTTCCTTTCTGGAATAGATGCAATGATAATAGAGAGGCGGAGTTTGAGGAGAGGGAGGAAAGTTCAAACAACCTTTAGTTCCAAATCAAAGTCCCAGGACCATGGCTTGGGAAGGAGGGGCTGGAAGGAGAATCCATGAAAGATAGATAGTTTGGGGGGAAATCAGATTTGACACAACCATGTCTCTGGTGAACTTCTGTCTGGAAATCCAAAATAAAGCTTTAGTTTCCTAAATTACCATGCTGTCTTGGTTTCTGAAGTCTGAGTCCACTAAGTCTGAAGGAAGGAAGGAAGGAAGGAAGGAAGGAAGGAAGGAAGGAAGGAAGGAAGGAGAATTTAACGTGACTAGACACAGCCCTCATTCAATACTTCACCTACAGACTGCTCAAGCAATGGCTGTGCATTTACTAAATAACATTTAATGGGGGCAGCTATCTTCCCCCTACACATCCTTCACAGAAATGATAGGAGCTGTAATGTTGTTAATGCATCATGCTGGTGACAGTGGTGACAGAAGGAAAAAATCATAAGCACTGTGACTATGAAAGAGGTAAGGCACTGAAGAAACAGGGTGATCGAAGCTAGAAGATTTTGGCTGCCTTCCCCATAACTGCTGTTTGACCCTGGAAAAAGTGCAAAACTAGCATTATATACCAAGTGGATTGTGTACAGAACAACATTGTGTACCACCACTCCTCATGAGGAAGCTGGTGATCTTTGAAAACCTGCATAATGTATTTTGAACCTTTTTGGTTGGCCTAATAAAGGTATCACTATAATGTGTATTTTGGATTTGGATATATTTTGTTATTTTGTCAACACCTGGAAATACCAATTTAACAATATCCATGATCTCATTTGTGATTATACTGTTTCCAGGATATGGAGGGAGGAATGCATTAATGTATTCCAGAGAACCATTAAAGTATTATGCAGAAGGACATGACAGTCAAAAATTGTAAACTGCTTTACCTTCACTATTTCACCAAGCATTTCTATTGATTCATCCACTGCTATTAAATAATAAGTTCTTGGTCTGTGATCTGCTACATTCTGTAACACTCTGCAAGGGGGCAAAAAAGTCATAATCACAAGTAAAACTCATTAATGTAATATGCAATGCTTACACAGAATACTGTGACTGAAATCCTGTTGGAAGAAAAAGACAAGAGAAATATGCCAGCTGTGGGTACAGCAGCCAAGACGACATGAAGTCATTGGAGAAACAGCCACGTTAGATCTGATATATTTCTCTTGCCTTTCTTTACTACCACTGCACAACCATCAAAATCTTGAAAAATGTGGTACTTCTAGAATAGTAGCACCAACAGGATTCCAGCCATTAAACAGAAGTGAAGTGAAGGTCATTTTGGTTGTTTTTCACTTTTTCTTTCAATTATCTGGAAATGTGCTCCACTGTCTTAGGCTGTAGCCACACTGCAGAATTAAATCAACTGGATACCATTTTAACTGCCATGACTTTATCCTACAGAATCCTGGGATTTGTAATTTGGCCTATTAGAGAGCTCGGATGCCTCACCAAACTACAAATCCCAGGATTCTGTAGGATAGAGTCATGGCAGTTAAAATGGTATCTAATTGATTTAATTCAGTACTGTGGCTACACTCTCAGAAAGCTGGCAGTAATGATCATGATGGAAGCACATTCAGGTTGACCCCAGAGTTCCAGCCCTTAAGTTTCTACGAACCTAAACAGTGAAGATTAATTGTAACAAATTGTAAATGAAATAATAATATGCTAGTTCCACACACAGTACATGGTAACACTTCAGTAACAAACAAAATGACACATCTCCCTGAACGCCTTCCACATTGTCAGCTCCCCAAAACCCTATTCAGATTTCCTCCTTTCCCCTCTTCCTAACTGGTCCCTTACCCAACTCTATTTCTAACTGGCCCTATCTCATTTTCTACCTGGCCATATCTCTTTCTCTGACTGGTCCTATTTCTGTTTCTGATTCACCCTAATTAACTATTTTACCGACAAGACTATTAAAATGTATCCTCTCCCCCTCCGATGAGCTGTGATGTCTGGTTCTATCCAGCTTTGCCTAGCTTCTCACTTCACACTTATATTTAAAATTCAGTTTCATGCTACAGACATCTTGAAGAAGTATGTTGTCTAGTGCTACACAGAAATGCTTCAAGAAATTGAGACTTTGGTGCCATTAATAAGAGACAAGCTTGCTTCAATTGTGCAATTAAATATATAATAACTTTACTATTTATCCTGGAACACTGCTCCCCTCTTGCCGATCTACTTGACGATATAACCTTAAGACCCCTTTAATTAAATGTAGACTGAATACTTTGCACCTAAGAGCCCTGGTGGCACAGTGGTTAAATGCCTGTATTGCAGCCACTCTCATAGAGCACAGGGTTGCGAGTTCAATACTAGCCAGGCTCAGGCTAGACTCAGGCCTACATCGTTCCGAGGTTGCTGAAATGACTACCCAACTGTTGGGGGGCAATGAGCTTACAGTTGTAAACCGCTTAGACATCCCATAGCGTGATATGAAGCGGTATATAAACGAAGCTGCTTTGCTTTGCTTAATTAAAGTCAAAGGACAATATGATGGTATATCCAATAGATAGCCAGTGCCCATATAGATGTAGAAAGATGGAAGATTTATGTCATTTTTATTGGCAGAAACTGACTACTGTGTGTCCTAAACAGCCAAGTACATCAAGTTAGTCTTGATAGATATACTTCTAAACTATCTGGTGACAAGATATAATCTCAGACCTATTTTGCATGTTTTTATTAACAATTCAATTTTATCTTAATTATGTTTGAATATGAGATCTATTTGTTTTTATGAGTTGAGGGGTACTTACGCAGCTAAGTCAACAATGTGAATGGTTGGAATAAAATTTCGTCCATCTCCAAAACATGGTATAACAGGCACCTCACCAAGCCAAGATAACTAAAAATAATGACAGAATAACTGTAACTTCAGAATGATTTTGGAGGAATAATTCCCTCAAGAACTATCAATTTATTGTCATATTTTATACATTCACAATTGTACAAATGTATATATAAATGTCACATATATAACCATAAAATGACAAAGGTGAAAGTATTTTCTCAGTGCTTAATGGCAAACCGCATATTCCAGAAAACTATCTGCATGTATTAGTCTGAGCATTAGAGAACATACTGTGAAGTTTTTCTGACTAGGGGAGTTAGAACTTGGAAATGTTACTTTGGGGGCTACAGCTGTCCAAAATTCCCAGGCAGCATAGTCATGGGGAATTCTAGGAAGTTGCAGTCCAAAAAAGGAATTTTTAAAAGCTCTACAAGAGATCATAGCTTATAGTTATGCTATTGATTATGCTGTGCTATTGACTATGACACAATTATTTTTATGAACCTTAGAAGACAGACTGATGGCCTAGGCACCATGACTAAATTTTAGGTCCAGTGTAGGTTCCAAGACTGAGGATGGTCCTGACACAATTGCCCTCTAGGTGGCTTCTTCCACCAACTGTAGACACTGATGGGCTTACATTATGATGGTAGCAGCAGCATTTCTGACCAGTTGGGTCTGAATGCCATTTTAATTTCCTTCAGTGCTCCTAATACAATATTATTCTAGGCACTGTGGGAAATTAAAAAGTCAGCTAGACGTAGCTTCCCAGCTGTGTTTGAATCATCAACCTGAGTTTTTTAAGCCAAGGCAGAAATTAGCAAGGGAGCCAGCATGGTATAGTGGTTTGACTGTTGGACTAGGACTCCAAGAAACCAGGGTTCAAAACACTGCTCAGCCACAGAAACCCAATGGGTGGCTTTGAAAAAGTGACATTCTCAACCTCAAAGGAGGGCAATGGGTCCCTCTGAACAAATCTTGTCAAGAAAACCCTTGACAGATTTCTCTTTGGGTCATCATAAGTTGGAAATTACTTGAAAGCACACAACAACAACAACAACAAATCAGCAACACGTCCCAAATCTGCCTAAAGATACAAGTCATGCTTGGACCAGCTTAGCAAATCACAGCCTGGAAATCTTAGTGCTTTTTCACTAAGCATTCAAAATAGGCAGATTTAAGCCCTACTGTCACCATGGTATGAATTGGAACTGTAAGTGAATTTCACATTCTGCCTGCCAAGAAGTCACTGTATGGTAGCAAATAAATGTCACACTTGCTCAGTTCCACCTATAAACTGGAAACAAGGTATTACGGTAATCTTCATCATTAAGGTACCTCTGAACAGGCACTCTGGAAGACAGAATAAGGACTAGCCCTGGCAAATACTGAATGATACAGAACATTGCTTTAGTCTCAGGTTTTTAAGGAATCATAGGAAGGGGTAACATGCAGTGGCATCATTAGGGTTGGTCCAGTTTAAACAACACAATACAAGTCATTATATTACACACTGGCTGCCTAGGAATATAGCTCCCACACAAATAAAACCAGTGGATGCTTGCTAAGGTCATGTGATTACCTGAGCTGTTACTTGTGAGTCAGTAAGTGTGTTTATATCAATGTGTGTCTAATACCATCTAATTAATCCATTTGTAAGCTGCTCTGATAGACTTTTGGCTGAAGAGCGGGGTAAAAATACTTCATAATAATAATACCAACTAGCAAAATTAAAATTATACCTGTCTATCTGTTTTTCTACTATTCGATATTTCCCCTTCTCTCTCTTTTTGATTACTTGTGCCCCTTTCCCCCTTTTCTTTTTCTCCCTTATATGCAGCACTTTAAGGTCAAAGTTAGGAATTGAATTTCAGGTGGATATTCTACTGGTGAGGAGACAGAAAATAAAATGAGGAAAGAGGAAGAAGAGAGAAATTGGTAGATTCAATGTTGTTGTGTGCCTTCAAGTCATTTCCAGTTTATGGCTGAGAGTGTGTAACTCATCTAAGGTCACCCAGTAGAGTTTCTATTACTGAGCAGGGATTTTAACCTTGGTCTCTAAAGTTGTAGTCCAATGCTCAAACTACTACACCATGCTGGCTCAAATTTAATAAATGAGCATACTGAGACTGCTGTTCACAGACATGTTTTGCAATATCATGATCTAAATTACATTATCTTAAATTAACCTACCTTAAAAAAGTAGTGTAGAAGTCTTTCTTCGGCTCCATACTGAAGACCTGAAGCAACAACATAGGTAGCAAATTTGATTTTGTTCTGTGGAAAATAAATAGACCATTGTTAGAAAACTTCTGTAGCACTGCAATACATCACCTGCGTAACAATCTTGTGAGCAACTTTTAAACTGAACAGTGGGAAAAAACAAAAGGACCTGGGAAACATCCACTTTGGGATAAAACTGAAAATGTTTCTGATATAGCGCTCCTTCCACAAGCCGCGAAAGGGGCGCCGCAAGAGGTGTGGCGCGCCTCTTCAGTGTCTCTTCCGGCTCAGCGTGTCTGGACGCTGAGCCAGGAGGACATCATTGAAGCGCCTGTCATGTGGACAGGCTGTTGCTCTGATGATATCTTCAGGAAGGGGATGGGGCGCCAAGCATCCTTTGGCCCCTCTCCTTCCTGGGATTGAAGAAGGCGCTTTTCACCGTCTGCATCCCCCTTAAAAGTTGTGTGGACTTTGCTATACCTATTTCAGCACAGGGTCAGGCTGTCATTGCTGGAAGTGGGGAAAGGTGCAACTACATTTGCATAAGCAACTATGGGCCTAAGCAGAAGGGCGGCAATGGGCCGCTCCAGGAAGCTGCGGATTGGGGCCAAGGTAGCCACACTCCTCAGCCCCAATCCGCAGCTTCTCAGGCCCTGTAAGGAGCGCTAAAATAGCGCTCCTTCCACAAGATGCTGAAGGTGCACCGCAAGAGGCGTTGGGCGCACCTTCGACGTCTCTTCCGCTGTAGTGTGTGTGGACACTGCGGCAGAAGTACATCGTCGGAGCGCTGGTTGTGTGGAGCAACGGGCGCTCCGATGATGTGTTCGGAAAGGGGTTGGGGCGCTGAGCGTGAGGCTGCCCCTCCCCTTCCTTGCCTCCAAGACGGCACAAAGTGCTGTCTGCTTCCCCTGCATGTGCCTACAGAGGAGGTACAGATAGGTAGTTCAGTTTCCCTTGTATATTTCCTCTTGCTTTGGCTTTGTTTAAATCTGACATCGGCAAATACTACCTCACTTCCCCTCACCTCTCCTTTCTCAGTTGTCTCTGTCCTAGCTAATCCCATCCTCTTCTAGCTATCACACATGTGAGTTCCTTAATAAGGATTTTCATTTTACTTAGAATAATATTTGATACTGATTCCAAGCAGCCAGCTTCTACACAAAGCACATTATTCCTTCCTTTGTTTCAAAATGGAAATAATTCATACTGTCCTTTAACATCTGCTTCTATATCAGTCAGGTGTGCTGTGTGGATTGCTCATCAGAGTGAGAGACATCCTCATAACAATACAGTGATCCTTCCACATTTGCTGGGGTTAGGGGTGAAAGACCCCGTGAATGTGGAAAAAACACAAATAAAAAAACACTATTCTTTTTACCTAAGAGAACACCTCTCTAGGAATCTACAGGTCATCCAGTGCAACTCTATGGTCAACATTATCCAGACGTTGATCACAGAATCATGCTGGAGGACCTACAAATGCCTAGAGAAGTGTTTTCTCTAGGAACTTCTAGGTTCTCCAGCACAACTCTATGGTCAACTTCTGGCAGAGTTGCATTGGACCTAGAGATTCCTAGAGAGAACAAATTAATCGAAACTGCAAATAACTAAATCCACAAAAGTCAAAGCTGTAAATGTGGAGTGCCAGCTGTATTAATTTGTTTTGTAGTTATGGCCTGTAATCTTTGCCATTAAAAGTTCATAAAGTTAATTTGCCATTAATACATACATTTTTACCAAGTTTTATAATAGTCTTTTCTGCATTGATGTGCTCCATAAAGTTTGGATGTGGTTTCCTTCGACGATAATCTTCTTCAGTGAAAGGTATTTCTGGATCTTCCTGGGTGTAGTGGAGTAGTGATGAGGAGGGGAAGTGAGCAGGAACAAAAACATATTTTTTTTAGTGAGAACTTTCCAAATTATTCCATTTTTTATTTTGAGCAAACAAAAGGAGATAAGGTCATTTTAAAGTGCATCTTAACAATAGCAGGTACTGTATATACTGATGTATAAGTCTAGAAATTTTGGTCAAAAAATTGACCCAAAAACCTGAGTCAACTTATCAACGAATCAGTGTAAGTACTGTACTTTCAATCATAAAAATGAGCCACTCCTGGTGAAAGATAAAAGTGTAATTTGTCCTGGAAGTATTGATTATTCTCTTATCCATTCAGCCTTTAGGGTGGGCATGAACAGTTATGCCTGTTGGAATTTTATACTTTGGCATTGTTTTCCTTTACTTCATCCTTTACATTCTGTTATATGAATAATAATAATAATAATAATAATTTTTATTTATATCCCGCCCCT